ACGTAAATGTATCCTTAAAGCCAGACGCGGATTCGAGAAATTCATGCGGAAATAAGGAACCTGGACTGTTTTGTGCCATTTTCAGATTTCGTCCGTGCATTCGTCCGAAGATTAAATTGGCACGCGATCGAGCCTGAGAAAGTACGCGATGCAAAACTTTCCGAATTATTCGAAATTACGCTTTGGAAACTTCCGGAAGCCTGTGGCGAAAAATGAAAGTCTTGGATCGGGGCAAGGCTTTGTCTAGTCTCTAGTGGGTAAATGAGATAAAAATCGGGTGAGTTTGACTCCCAGCAATCCAGCAGCAGCAGCATCTACTCAATTGTTCAGGGTGCACATGCTGAAGTTGTAAGTCGACTTTCTCCCTTTTTTGTTGAGGCAATTAGATGGTAATTGTGTGTTGTCGACTTCGTGCTTTCTTCTATTCCCACTTGAGGCTTCGGACTTCGACACGCAATTCCGTATTTACTCGAACATTCGGAGACTTACGTAAGGCGCCATCGATTCTAAACTGCCTTTTTTTGTGCTTTCAAATAACAGGAAAATGATAATCTGAAATTCATTTCGACTTTTCCACCGTTTTTCGAGCTTGACCAGTTCAACATTTTTTTTACAACTAACATGAATTATACTGTATCACTCAAAGTCGCTAAGATATTGTGCTTCAGTATTTTATCAAAATTATACAATTGCAAGATTTATTCCGGGCCTTTTTCGTCGTGAAGCAGTTCACAATTATTGTTGAGCCAAAATTATTTTAGGGCTTTATTCAGGAGATGCAGTTTCTGAGAAAGTGATGACTTTACCTTCGAATGTATGACGTCATGGAATGTTTCATGGAAATCATGTGCAGTATTCGATCTGTTACAAATGGATACATTTCGTCGCTTTGAATTTTTTCCGACGCTGTTTGAATGACAAAAATTATAATTCCGAGCTTCTTCCCTTGAACAAGTACTTGGTGAAAATTTGAATGCTACCGTATATCCACTGTTAACAGGCATAAACTAACAAGAGCCTCTAGGTCCTTTAGAATCTAAATTTTAACATATGACGTGTCATGTCATGTAATAAGGCGTAAGCAATGTTCAAAAACTTCGTATTTTAGGGGACATTTTGTAACGATTAAACTGTTCTGATTGAAGGAAAATTTGCCGCCGGAAACATTCAGTACATTTTATTGAGAAATAAGGATTCTCCGTGAGGATAATTGAAAACTAAAGTCGAGTCATTCTCGCAATTATTCAGTCTCGACTTTTGGAAATGTTACACATAAAAGAGCGACGAATGCGTTATAAAGAAGCGTTTTGAAAAGTTGCGCCATACTTAAAAGACGACGAATAAGTTTGGGCCTTTTTTGCAGTGGAGACACCAGGGAGCACGTTTCGTAATTAAGAACTTCCCCTTAAAAAAAAATCTAAAGCAACAGGAATGATTTATTGGTACCCCGACTGAGTCGGTCTCAGTTTTGAATACGTCGTGACTGGGGTTCTGCCGGTTTGTCACCCCGTCGACCACTGAGGGGGGGATTTGTTCGGGAACGCTCAGCAGGTGTCGGCTGGGTTCTCTTCCCCCCTCTGTCTCCAGCGTTTGACTGGAAAAATATGCTTGGTATAGGAAAAGCGGGGATTTTATTTTTACCTGTTTTTCTTTCTTATTTTTTTTTAAAATTATCCTGCGTGAAACCCTGGTGGGAAACGACCTCGTTGTTCGCATTTCGAAGTCTTTATTTTTTTTTCGGAATAAGTTGTCTGGCGTTGACTCGAGATGCGCTTACAAAATGTAATGTGTTTATTACGCTCTTTTACATTTAGATGCATCGTCATGCTAATGAGGAAATACTGTAGTTCTTTTTTCGAACTTGTGTTTGAGGATTTTTTTTTTTGTGGAGATTTTATTGTGAGGAACTGGGATCAGTCACCTAGGTCGTGGGAGGGAAATATTTCTTGGTACTTCTTATCGCTACAATGACGCGTTTTGGGTATAAAAAAGGTAAAGAATTGTTGTGTTGCCATCAGTCTGTTGGAATCAGTGGGAGTGGCAAGACGTGATACGCACTTGAATTATTTTTAAGTTTCAAAATGGAACATTTGTCATGTTTTTGATGTACAGTATCGGATCAATTTTCCTTTGCAAATTCAGGATATGCTCTCTGTTGGATTTTTTTGCCGATAAATTCCGTGTCAGGTTTTCGAAAAACTTGTTCGAGTTTTATAATTTTCTAGCCGAGCTATGCAGTAAAAATGCAAGCCATCTAAACTTTTTTCGATTTCTTTTGCTGTTCACGATTTTTGTTTTAATTTTGTGTACTCCGTTTTAGGCATTACTCCGTGAATCTCTCGGTGCTATTATTATATTTTCAATCCATCGAAGAACAATCGTAGTTTTTTATGGCATTGGCAATTCGTGCTGTACTGTGCAATATTTGTTGCTAATTTATTAGATACATTACAGTATTACGCAACGCACCTAAAACTTCTTGGATTAAATTTTCCGTTTAAGATCCATAATTCGTTGGCTGTTATGTAATGATTCCGAGGACTACAAAGCCAGAACTAAACATACAGCCGTCCAGCAGCTAAAAAAGTGCGAGGTCAGAACTCTGCTCATCACCTTTACCGCTCCCAACGTGACTTTTTTCTTCTCCAGCTACGGTTTGCTGCAGAGTTCCTGGGTTTTCGGGAAGGTTTCGTTGAGGAACTACACTGCAATGGTTTTTAACGTTGTCTAGAGGGCCTCCAACCCAAATAAAATAATATCTGAAAAGTAAACGAATCAACTATAACAGAAATACCAATAACTTTTTTTAATAGTAGATGTTTAAAGACTTGTTGGTGAAAAGTTTCATTCTAACTGAAATTTCTCGACAACTTTGATGAGCTGGGTCTGATCCTGATGCATCGTTTCAGCGATGCATGCCGATTTGAAAATGGGCGTATGGCACATTCACGTCATACTTTGATACGTTTTTGGTATAGTCACACGAAGTACGACTGCAGTATAAGAATTAAATTCCGTAGAGACACGTTTCCGTAAGACTGTGACAACCAATCGATGAATTTTGGATTAGAAGTGTAGCCATCGAATTCTGCTGTGACTTTTATTTTATTTTTAGATATTAATTCTAAAGGGAGACAGAAGTTAAAAGTAGCTAGACGTCCAAACGCTTACCACCGCTTCTCATAAAAGTGTGTTGTAAAGGCCACCCTTCGTCTTAGCTCCCAACTAGCGTATAAACTGGACACAATGGAATAGTCTTTAGGTCAGTGCGTTGAACTCTCTCTTTCAGAAGCTTACGACTGGGACACAAAAGGAACAGTTGAATGAAACTCGATTAAAACGTTCCTACTTAAATATTTCTGAAGATACTCTTTAAGTTCAAAGTATTTTTGAACTTCTTCCATTATTTTGAATATTACGTCAAAATCAAAAAAAATTTCTTCACATCTTTACTTGCGTGGGGTACGTCTTTCTTACACCTGGATCTAATTTTTGCGAGATTTTGGCACAACGCAAAGAAGACTGCCTGAGGTAATTAATTCTCAATGTTTTCTATTAATTATTAGTTTCAGCTTTCACTCCCGAATGAAATTCAGTACAGTACAGTATATTAAATTCATCTAGAAATCACAACGTGGAAGGAAAAAATTGTAACGTGGAATAACTCGAAAGTTAACGAAGCTACTCCTGTACTGTAAAATTACTGTATTTAGTGATTGACTATGAAATGGAAAGCCAAATTTCTCCGTAGCATCATACTTCGAAAAAAAAATTGGTTTCATTTTAAATTATAAATCGAATGCTTGAACTATGCGTCGCCTACGCTTTTTTTTGTTGGTACTGTATTTTTTTTTCTCGGGAATGCCAGATGTCAAATTTTATATCTTTACGTGTAATTTTTTTTTCGCATACCTACGTTTAAATCCAACTCTCGACTTCATATTCTTACGATATTGTCATTGAGTTATCTTTCATTCTTTCAAATTCTTCGACTGGGATGATAAAAGCGCTGCATTCAATTGTTTAATGACTGCGCTATTAGGTGACTGAGACATGGACAGGCTTCCAGATTATATCGACTTAAAATGCGTGTCGTAAATTTAAATTTTTTTTTCCCTTCATTAAATGGAAGAAGAGTACGACTGGAAAATCCTTGATTGATAAACTTCTTTAAGATCTTGATTATTTTTTCCCAGTATCGACTTGATCAAAAGTGATACGAACATGTGTTCAACAACTGTATCATTCAAGTGGGTTGTACTTCGCGTGTGGTTGATCGTACTGTATTCCGGTCGAGGTTCTGCTTTCACTTAATTTTAAATTGATTCCATCGAAGATGAAAACACGCCGCTGATTTCAATGGCAAACATTATTACGTTACCCCATTATTTTCTTGTCTTACTTTCTTTCCGCTTATTCAAGTGCCAGTGTTTCAAAGTTTCACCCAGCAGGAATAATATTTTAAAACGGGTGTTCCGTTTTATGATGAACGGATATATGAGAAAAGCTGTATTTTTGAGTCGATGGAGAAAGTATTCCGAGGATTTGCTCGCGTTTCGCTAACGTAGTCGAAA